TCTTGGTGATGCCTTGGACAGCAGCAACTCCATGCAAACCATCCAAAAGACCACCACCCGCCGGATAGTGGATGGCAAAGTGGTGTCTGAGACCAATGACACCAAAGTTCTGAGGCATTAAGCCAGCAGAAGCAGGGTACCCTTTGGGGAGCAGGAGGCCAATAAAAAGTTCAGAGTTCATTGGATGTCACTTTTTCTTCTTTTGGCTGTTTTCATTGCGCACAAATGCCCTAACCCAACAGTCCCATCTCTGATCCAGCAGAAACCACCTCTGACCCCTGAGGGTTTCATATAGATTGGGGTGTAGAAGGAAGAGGGCTCTGTATTCTTGGAAACACTTCTCAGAGACAGAGGAGGGAGCGGTAGATGTGATGGGTCACAGGCAGTGGGGATCCCTCCAAGGGAATTGTGGAATCTTTGCCTTGAAGCAGTCTGCTGTTCATAAGGTCCCTGACTGATCATTAGCAGAAGTCTGAATCAAAGGAGGAAATTAGGCCAAAGACAGAGGACAGAGGAGACAGACACATCTGGCCCTACCCTACCCTGCTGCTTTGCATCCTTGGCCCACTGCCCAGGGCTTCCCACCCACAGTTTTTTCCTCCAACCCCAGGCCATACTCATTCTCCAAACCTATGGTGCCCTAAACTCTGTTCATTCACTCAGTGGAGATAAGATTTTTAGGGTGCTAGAGGTCTGGCTAGAAGTTGAGTAAATGATCATGGAAGTTCCCATCTAGGAAAGAGGTGCCCCTGAGTAAGCACCCATAGGTAAGGATGGGCATCTTAAAGCTAACCGAGGCTGGGCACAGTGGCTCACACCCATAATCCCAGCAGTGCCACCACACCCGGCTAATTTTTGAATTTTTCATAGAGTTGGGATTTCACTATGTTGCCCAGGCTAGTCTGGAACTCCTGGCCTCAAGTGATCCTCCCGCTTGTACTCTTTGGAGTGACTAGATGTCACCTTGTGTCTTCCTTGGCTGCTTTCATATTTGTGTGCAAATGCCCTAACCCAACATGATTACATGTAGATGTTAATTGTAGCAGTTTTGCCAAAACAAAACTACTAAAGATCAAGGCATCAATCACTCAAAGACCTAGGTTAGGTTAATTTTTTTTTTTTTTTTTTTTTTTTTTTTTTTTGTAGAGTCTTGCTCTGTCACCCAGGCTGGAGTGCAATAGCGCGATCTGGGCTCACTAGAACTGCCTCCTGGGTTCAAGGGATTCTCCTGCCTCAGCATCCCAAGTAGCTGGGATTTCAGGGGTCTGCCACCATGCCTGGCTACTTTTTGTATTTTTAGTAGAGACGGGGTGTCACCATATTAGCCAGGCTGGTCTTGAACTCCTGACGTCGTGATCCGCCCACCTCAGCCTCCCAAAATGCTGGATTACAGGCGTGAGTCACCGTGCCCAGCCTAGGTTAATTTTTAAAATGTTGGGTTAAGGCAAAAGGAATTTTTTTAATTTAAAAATTAGCCGGGCATGGTGGCATGCACCTGTAGTCCCACTTACTCAGGAGGCTGAGGTGGAAGGATTGCTTGAGTCCAGAAGGTCAAGGTTGCAGTGAGTTGTGATTGTGCCACTGCATTTCACCCTAGGTAACAGAGTACCACTGTTTCAAAAAACAAAAAAAGTTGGCTGGGTATGGTGGTTGAGGCCTGTAATCCCAGCACTTTGGGAGGCCGAGGCGGGCTGATCACAGGGACAAGAGATCGAGATCATCCTGGCTAACACAGTGAAACCCCGTCTACTAAAAATACAAAAAATTTAGCCGGGCATGGTGGCGGGCGCCTGTAGTCCCAGCTGCTCCGGAGTCTGAGTCAGGAGAATGGCGTGAACCCGGGAGGCGGAGCTTGCAGTGAGCCGAGATAGCGCCACTGCACTCCAGCCTGGGCGACAGAGCGAGACTCGTCTCAAAAAAAAAAAAAAAGCTAACTGAAATGTCATCGTTCTGTGCTTTTAATTGGAATTGTGTCACGTAGCAGTGAAAACAATTGATGTCTAAAACCGGTTATATATTTTAATTGGGGGGATAACGTATCCTCTTCTTTTTTTTTTTTT